ATGCTGTCATAAACAAACCTTGTAAGCATGGCCTCTACAGTTATTGGCAGGTTGTGCTCTGGATTCTGTAGGAATGTGTGGTGTCAGAGCTGAGTTAAACTAAAAACATCCTAAAAACCAGAAGTGGTGAACATCAGAATATTTATTTGTGGCACATCATTGCAGCTGTCTTTGGTTTGCAGTGTTCCTGCTCTGTAGTGCCAAGCAGGATGTTCTCAGAGCAGGGGGAACTGTGACTGACCTGGGAGGAAGTGCAGCAGCTGTGTCCTGTAGACTCGTTCTGTTTGTTGAAAAAACAGCCAAGACTCCTCCAACTTAAATAATTTCAGGGTATACCCAAGTATCAAATGTGCAAGTGTGTGGATGTTTATTTTTACAAAAGGCTAATTGCACTATTTTGGGATCAATTCAGGCTTCAGTATTTTCCACCTACTTCACTCTGAGCTTGGAAACAGGATTTGAGACTGCAGCATCTTGACAGCTGGAATACTTCACAGAAGTCTACAGGTAGTAGACAGGACACATATAATTAGAGTGCCAGACCAAAACTGAAATGTGAAATTCCTCACTGTGACTTTAAAGTTGTAGCTTTCTAGAGAAAAAAAATATATATGTATATACTGTGCCTTAAACCAGTAAATGAATACACTCTAACTGTAGCCTGTGGACTTCCATAGCCTTATATTTGATTTTTGAAGTTGACCAAAAATATTTGTGTGGACCATACTGAAACTTGATTTGGAAAAAGGCTTTAAAAAGTCTTTTGACCCCATTATACACTTGAGAAACCAAGACATAGTTTTTGTTTAGAATCACACCAGCCAAAGTCAGAAAACTTCAGCTGACCTGAATTTTCCAAGCCTTTCTGTTGTGACCAAAAGAAAAATAAGGAAGGAAAACTAGTTGCAGATACCTGTCTCAGCTTTGAAGTCTGTGTGTCAAATTATTTTTAAACATTTTGATCTTTAGTCCTCAAAAACTAAGAAAAAAGATCCTCTTAATTGCAGTTTAAGCAAAATACTGTATTTAAGCCATTGAATAGCAAAATCTTCACCACTGTGAGAAGAGAACTAGACAGGGGTGGGGTTGATTGTTTGTGTTAAGGCTCCAGAAGTTTTGAATACTAAATTTTACTTTTTAGGGAAAATATTAATACAGAAATCCCTGAAAATTCACATGTAGATTCTGCTTTTTGGAAAGTGGAAGGAAAAACTACTTTGGAGAAAAAACAACAACCCTTTTTTTCCTAATTCATTAAAGAAAACTAGAAATACTTAAGATCTTAAAATCTTGTTTTAATATAGTAGAAGGATTTCTTATGTATATATTTTAATACAAAGAGCTCAGAAAAAGCCACCACCGGCTTTCCTTGTCTCTAGAAGATTCTTTGTGTGTTTTGAACAAACCTTCCCAAATTCTGACTTCCCCCCGCTCCCATATTAGCACCACATAGCACTGAACCTTGGAAAGTGATGCCATCTCAGAGCTTCTTGTACTGTGGGTATTTAGACGTGCACACAAGTGACTGCACATCAGCTGGTCACAGAGCTGGTTTGAAGCAACAATCAGCAAAGTTACAAAAAACTTCCTTTCACTGAGCACCATCTTCAGTCTGGGTGCCACAGGGCTGCTGCTGCTGTGGCACAACCCAGAACACGCTATCTTTGTGTCTTCCCTGCTGCTTCCTAATATCTGCTGGCTTAGGAGTTCTAAAGCTCATTCCATTCACCTCACTTTTTATTTTGTGATGGTGTTTCAGCAATCCTAGCCATTGGTGATTTTCTAGCCACTGGAATATTCTAGTATTGCAACCACTAAGGAGGTAGAACTACCGTCAAGGCCTTTATGTATGATGATAATTCGAGAAAAACTCTGTAACTTGATTTCCCACTGACCTTTTAATTGTTTTTTCAAGCACAAAGACAGAATAATGTTGGCCAAAACACCTGGTTTGGGTGGGGATTAGTGGGGAGGGAAGGATTTGTTGGTTGTAAAAGGACTCAAAACTTTGAAGAAGACATGTAATTTTGGGAAAAATCCTATCACTTCTCAAGCAATCTGTCTTAGAAGTTTTTAACTCTTCCTCTATTTTCAGTTCTTATGTAGCTACCATAAATCTGATGTTGTATATGGAACTTACTCTTAATATTTACAGGTTTTTAGAGATGTTGGCAGGGTCTTATCTACAAATATTTGAAAAATGCTATAGCAAATTACTGTGCTTATAAAAACGTTTATAACTGAGTTCTTACAGACCATGCCATATATCATAAACTTTGGCAAAGTCTCTGTCTTGTGAGATGCTGAGAAAACCTTGAAGACATACTTTCAAATAATGTTGTAATTGCTGAAAGATGAAACCTTAGTCTTTAAAAACTGAATTTAGGTGTTTTTTTTGTTGTAGTTGAGGACAACTTGATTGGGAGCTACTTTGGGATGTTCTTACTTTGTTTAGTGGTTTCCCTGGCTACAGTGTATACTTCATTTTTTTTATTTGTTTGTTTTGGTTTTGTTTTTTTTTTTACTTAAGTGTGCATGACTTGAAGTACATTGTATAGCAAATCTCTTGCTAAAGAAACACTTCTGTATATTTTTGTATGATATTCCAACGTGCTTGCATTGCTGCAAATGGTTGTAATTCACAAAAAGTGCCACTGCCCAGTGCTGCCCTGTGGAGTGTTGTTACCTGTACTGCTGTTGTACAAACATGCTGATGAGTGTTGTGAGCGACGTTTGCCTTTAGTCTTGGCTCAGGTACTCATGTAGAGCAGTTTGGTGCTTTTCCTTCTGACTTGTAATACTTGGGATTCTAAACAGAAAATAAAAGTGGTAAACAAAAGCTTTGTGGTTGGAGCAGTGCTTTAACAGGTGCTTCTTTCACAGGTGCTTCTTTCACACCTCAAGTAGAATGCAATAAAGACAGTACAGGATGAAGCTTGGCTCAGTACCTTAACTCCAACACCTTTAGTCTTCATGAATGGGAAATGCAATAAAATTCAAAGTGTTTGCTGAATAATACAGTTTATATAGAGTATTATATGTATAAAACCCATTGTTAGCTAAACTAGTGCATTTTAAATTTTTCCATGTAGAGGTGAATTGCATGGAACTGAGCAAGCAATGCTATGAGTATTTTCATCTTCATGGCAATTTAATTCAAACATACATGAACATCGCTTACTGTGCCAGAAAGGTTATATAATTAGTATAGACACTTTGAAAATACTAGATTTATTCAAGATGTTTGTCAAGAAAACCTGATGCTTAAATGTGGATGCATTAAAAAGGCAGCATCCTGACATATGGCTTTGACAGCATTTGTTAAACTTAGCTACTGTCCTCAAAAACGAGAATGCAATTTAATTCAGTCAGTGTAAGTATACTAATAGTATTTTAATATGAATGTGTTCTGCTTATATTTGACTTTCTCTGAAGGAAAGAATTGAAATCACTAAAAAAAGACCAACCCACACATTAAAATGAGCACTAGGTCTAAACAGACTTTTTAGCTCCAACAGTTTCTCAGAGCTTTAGCTCAGGAAGCAACAATACAAGTGTGTAAGGATATTTTTTTTTAGACAGCTCGGAGAAAATATATGCTAATTAAATCTCTTGAATATCTGCATGCTTCATCAGTCATCCAAATTGCCTGAGTTCCTCCAGTATAAAGCTTGTTTCATATTTGAAGATGACTTTGGGATGTTTTACTAGCTGAATATGCTGCGTATCCCCAGTTCTTTGTAAAGAAATCAAAGGAATAAATTATTCAAGGAGGAAGAAAAGAGGTAGAAGAAAACTGGCTTTTCTGGCTTTATTTTAAATTCTCTTTCCAAAGCTAAAGAAGGAACTAAAATCTAATCCTAAACTCTAAATCTTGCCTTTTCCCCTTTCTGTCATTTTATCTACAGGAGCAGTTTTCTACTTCTAGCTGAAATAAGTATCTACCTAGAAGATCAACAAAGACAGTTCCCTTATGCTGGGACCTGCCTTTTTCAAGTTATTCTGGTGCTACTGCTCTGTTCTTGATGAGTACCCTATATGGAAGTTGAGTGTCATGTTGATGGGGCTTGATGGATTTTCTTTTTTGTGTGTATGATTTTTTTTTTAAAATCCAAATATCCAGAATAATAAGCGGGATAAATTGTCTTGAATTTTTATACGCTATTGTAGTCATGAAAATAACACTGCTAAGATTTTGTTTACTGTGTTGCTAATGATGTTTGGATGTCCAAAACTTCATCTTCCTGGAAGGGTGGTGGTACATTTTTATTTTGCTTTCAAAATTTAAACCAAAGAAAAATGTAAAGTTTCTAGTCAGATATAAACATCTATACTACGGAGTAAGGTGATGGTCAAATATTTTTCATTTTAATATGTCTATTTAGAGATATATTTGATGTGATACTAAATCATTTATCATCTATGTAGCTGAGAGAAGAGTGCAGTGAAACAATAAACAAAAAATATGAGCAGCTTTGGTATGAAGAATGCTATGTACTAAGGCCAAGGTAAATTAGCAGAGTCCTCCTTGCAGCCTTTGCCTTAGTTTCTAGTGTGACAGAAGGATATTAACTGCTGATAAAATCAGGGTAGGAAAACAATGCTTCCATTAAAATGCTGTAATTTTGAATATTGAAGCAGACCTTACTTTTCCATCTTTTTTTCCAGCATCAAGAAAGTGATCCATATCTCATTTCCTTGAAAATCATTAGTCACCATTCTAGTTACTTTTAACTGAAAATAATATTTTGATAAAGCTGTGCTATTTCTCCTGGGAATTTTTTTAAACTTCCTATATGCCTACTACCAATTTTCTGCAATACAGCTTGGGAGGAATTTGTACTGCACTGTTCAATAGCAACAGGTCTGAAGAGCATCAAGGATGAAATTCTCAAGGGTCTTTATGTCATGGATGGAAACAGAATCATTACTGTATTTTTGAACTCCTGCTAACGTCATTGACACCCACCTACAGTCTACTAGCAATATAAGTGCAGAGATCAGCTTGTTCACAGATGACGAGGAGACCAACCAAGAAGGGGCAAGCCAAAGCCAAATTCCCTGGTAAGCTCTATTTTAAAGAATGTGAGAGGGACAATTGCTTTTCTCCCCCTGAAACAAGTTGTGAAATGGATCTCTACTATGTTAGACCAGGCTGTATTAAATACCGTTGCACTTACTATTATATGTAGTAAAATTTAATGCAGTTTTAAAAAGTGAGCTCTCTGGATCTTGAGCCATATTTTTGCATTCTCTTTGTGGCACACAGAGTTGTGGTGCTGTGTTAGCCACTGAAAATGGCTGTATGTAATAAATGTAAACTTACAAATGTAATGTTTTGTGTTGAGTGCTCTACTGGTCCCTCAGAAGAGAGTCCAGTGTCTAGAAATAGCTTTGGTATGGGAAACATTTGTTTAGAATATTTTTTTCTTCCAAGTACATTAGTACTATGAAAAGAAAGAGTTAATAGCACATGGATGTAATCTGCAGTGGGCAGACTTTCCTTGGATTCACACAATTTGTGTGTTCCCAGTGACAGCTCTGTAGGAGTTAAGGTGTATGTCTGTTTGTCCTTCTTACAGACAGTCTGTTCATCTCCAGCATGTGGAAAGTGCTGCTCCTGGGTCTGTATGTAGTATTGGCTGTGAGAGGATTGGCAAAGGGTGCTCCTTTCCATCCAGAAGAGAAATGGAAGCCTCTTGATAACCCCAGAAACAGAGACCTGGTAAGGAAATGTTTCAAGACAGAGAGCTGAAGTTCTGTGTGTTTTTTTGTTCTCCATGAAGAGACTCCTTATCATCTAAATTTAAAGGCAAGAGGGGCCCATTAGACGTAATGTCTAGGAGCTGTGCACTGTGTATAGTCAATAACCATTTCTCAGTCAAGATGTACCCCTTAACTGAAGAGACATTCTCAGAGCACAGTAGTGCATAAAACTTCCTTATATCTCCATCTAGTAGCTTTCATTTTAAAAAAATTACTTTGATTATACAGCCACTTGTTTTATGAAACAGAAGAGGAATGATTACTGTGTTTCTTTCAAATGTGTTCTCTGACATTCTCTGGTGTCAAATGTGTTATGTATCATGGTTGCATGTTGTTTCAGCTAATGGAAGTACAAATAAGTTTGCATCTGACAGCTACAAAAATACCACTCAGAGAACATTTCCACAGTCTTAAAAAAAAATTTGTGAAGGAAAAGAATCAGGTTTACCGTAATTTTTCCTCAGTGTTTTAGGAAGCTTTAATTTCTCCTTTCAAGTGACTGTAAGGGGACAGTTCAAATCAATTGCCCATTGCTGACTCTCACAGAAATGTTTACAGAACTGTCCCATTTGCTCTCAGCAGGGGTTTGGCTGTGCCTGTTAACAGCCCCTGTGATTCAGTGGGGGAGCATAAATGAGCAGGAAATAGTTGCTGGTCTTCTGACTTCACTTAAGATGTACAAGCTGTGGATGGAATGGGCCTGTCTGAATTAGGTTGCCTACACTCTATCAGAATAGAGGATTTCACCCCACAGAGGAACAAATATTACATCTAATTTGTGTCAGTAGAAATAATTAATCTCCATCAGTCATGCTCAATTTGTTTTCATATCCTCAATATGTTCAGTTTTTCAGAACGCTCCAGGCTTACTTCTTGGGCAGGGGTCTCGATCTCAGAAAGTTCCCAGCTACTTTCCCTGTGAACAGTGAAGGACCAGGGCCTGTCATGTTCTACTCAGATCCTATTGCTTCTGCATTTGCAGATTATGAAGAAAGGAAAAAATCTTTTCAGAACTATTTTGAAGGCTGAAAGATTCTGCTGATGAAGGTAAAAGGGGATGCCTTGTTCTCTAACTTGGTACATGTAACAAGATTCTGACTGAAGTATAAAAGCAACTTCTTTCCCAGAAGGAATTAAAAGTGTAGTACCTTTACCCTTACCTGAAGTGGGTTTTAAAATTCTTGAGGCAGAGGCTTATGAGGTAATTGCTACTTAGATAAAATAACACATGGTGCTTGTGTAGACCTATATAGACCATGATTTTTTGGGTTTTTTTCTCCCTTCATGTAGAGGAGAATACTGAAAACGTACAGATAATAAATAAGGGATCTGAGTTCTATGTAAGGAATTGCAAAAAGATTATAAATTGAGATCAAGGTTTCTTGTGACATGTGCAAATTAAGAAAATCGATTTAGATATAAGTTACTGCACTAACAAAGCATACATTGTCTTTTAAATTTACAGTAAATAGTTTTCTTCTGATTTACAAATAGTTAAGAATTTCAAAGCATTTTGGTGATTTATGCAGTATCTTAAAGTGCTTAAGTTGTAATTAATACTTAATTTAGGATTTCCATCTCTTTCCTGTTCTCACCTTGCTTAACCCCTTCTCCCTTTGTAATCAAAATCAAAGCTTTATTATTCTTATTATCATGAACCATAATAAAGACTGCAGTCAAATTTTAATACTAAATTCTCTTTTTGCTGCGTTTTTATGCCAGGAAAACAAAGAAGCACCACAGCATGTGTATTTTGTGCATGAAAAATAAATGAAAAGTGAATTCAGAAAGGCTGCTCTACTATAAGTCAGAGCAGCAGTGAGAAAATGGCTGGTGGAAGTTCTTTGTCCTGCATAATTCAGGATGGTCGTGGTAGTTATTTTCAGTGTTCAGAACGGTTTTGTGGGAACAGAGGTCCAGCCAGTGTTTTCAATGACTTGGTCTGGATCACACATTGGTTGCATATGGCTACTTCTGTATTTCTCTTACATATTTGTATATTTTTTTTGTCTTTTTCAGGTGTTAACTTAAGAACTCCATACCAAGTGGAAAACTTCACAGCAAAATTTTACTGTTTTGATTTTTTGTTACCTGACAACTCAAAATTTTCTTCACTGTCACCGTTTCTGCCAGTGGAATCGGGTGTCCTGCTGTAATGGGCATTATTCTGTCTGTTGACAAATGCGTGCTCTTTGGCTACTGCAGTTTGTGAGCAGAATTGTGCTTAAGTGTGAATAAATGAGGAGTGCAACCGCGTGCATTTAAGTACTGCCAAGTGTCTTTGTTCAAAGCCGGTAAATAAACGTTCCCTTTCACTTTATAAGAACGCGATGTCCCAAGGTGTTCTGTGACAAGTTCCGATCCTCTCTTGGTACACCACCTTTCTTGGTGGCGCTCTGGCTGCTTGTGCCTCACGCCAGCCCCGCACGCCCATTGCTGACCCTGCCCTGGTCAGAAGTGCACCATCCCTCGGTGTGTGGAGTTACGAACCCGTCCGTGGCGAAGGTGCCGAGGCAGTAAAGCCGCTGTGGCCCCGCCGCTGCCCGCTGTCCCTCCCGTCCCGCCTGCCCTCAGCGCCGAGCGCGGCCGCCACGCCCGGAACTCGCGCGGCCGGGCGCGGGCTGCGGCGGCGCCAGAGCAGGACGGACGCGGTGCCTCCCTCACAGCGTTCCCCCGCGCCGCGCCGGGGCCATGTCGGGCTTCAGCCCGGAGCTGATCGAGTACCTGGAGGGGAAGATTTCCTTCGAGGAGTTCGAGCAGCGCCGCGAGGAGCGCAAGAGCCGCGAGAAGGTGAGTCTGCCCCGCTTGGCCGCCCCACGGCGCGGGCCGCCACCCTCACGACAGCGCCTGGCAGGGCACGGGCCGCTGCTCGGTGTGTGTGGAGGGACTCACGCTCTCTGCTTCTGCGGTTACGTAGTTGCGAGTTTCTGTGTAGAGATCAGCAGAGGGTCCCGCTGAGGCGGCGGCGGCGCGGCGCTGTGTGCGGGGAGCGCAGAACGCGGCGCTGCGGGCGGAGGCGCCGGCCCCGCGGCTGTGGGTGCTTGGTTTGGGATGAACTCATCCAGATCATGCTGCCACAGCTCCCCCACCAGCATCTGAGAGCTAAGGGAGAGAGCCAGTGCGGCTCCTCGTCCGACTTCTCGGCAGCAGTAAATATGGGGAGACACAGTTTTGTGTCCGACACAATAAGCGGTGTGATTAAAAGAAAACAGGTATGATGTCGGAGTGTTGCAGTTCTTTTTAACTTTGCTGTACTTCTGTCAAGGTGCTACTGAATTTCTGCATTTCTTGGTCTTCAGAGAGCAAATTCAGCAGAACTCGGCTGTTGTGGAAGAAGTATTATCCCAGGGCAGCTTTCTTACCGGATTAATGAGTGCTATTTTGTTACTGACAGGCTTCTGGAAGGATTTGTCTGTCACATAGGATTTTTTTTTAATACAGTCAACCATGTCATCCCACCTCACTGTAATACTAAATAAGCAATGGACTGGTCTCTTCAGTCAAAAGAAGTGTGAACAGTCACCATCTGAGTCACCCACATTGATAAGAACATAAATATCTTGAAAGCAAGTAATGCTAGGTTTTAGTCACTTAAAAATGCAGTGCTTATCCCACCTGTTTCCAGCCTTTGCACTGCCAGTGAAAGCCAAGTGGAAACTGTAAATAAATGAGGGAAATAAAAATGGGTAATACTTATAGAGGTAATAATTTATTTTTTTGGTATGTGTAGGATGGTGAAAATGCGTCTGCTGAGGAAAATGAGGGAGATGTAGAGGCCCCATCTTCATCCAGAAAAGCATCTGGGAAATCCCAAAGTCAGGATGAAACTGATGGTAGGTGTTTTTAACATAATCATTCGTATTTAAAAAGGCACGGGAAACATTTACCTTTTGATAACTGACTTCATAAAATACTGGCTCCATTTTTCTCCTCCTGGTCTCTGCAGGGACTGAAATAAAAGAGAAATTAACAATTATGCTTTTTTTCAGATGGGGGTAGGGTAGGAACAGTCTTGTGTTTAGATGCTCAATATCCAAGTCAGAATAAAAATAACCAAACTTATCCAAGTCTAAAAAAATAACCATAATCCCAAGTGTGATCCCCAAGTTCCTCTCCAATATAGGCAATACATGATCAATTTCTTTTTCAGTCTCTGCCTGATACTTTGGTTATTTTTAAATCAAATCTTCAGGCGTCCAATCCTTCACCTCAAACCTTCGAACCCTACATATTTGGAGTTTTGTATATAGATCTGTGGTCAGTTATAACCCTGGGTTCACTTCATAATGAGAAGTTGTAAATAAAAAATGGGAATTTTTTTTAAAAATATATGCCTTAAGCATATTGATTCAGAGTACTTAGCATCATTTTCTTACCTATTTTTAAAAATTCTGTTCTTTTTCCAGAGAAATGCAAATAATCTGGATTTTTTTAACACAAGTTAAAAGGTACTTGTTGTCATGGGTGAAATGGTTACAAGATCTTGTTTTCAATTACTACTGAAAATTGGTTGCTGGATTGTTGTGTAGTAGAATCCTCTGCTCACTTACAGCCTCTTCAGCTGAAAAGCTTATTGCAGTGGGCCAGCTCAGTGCTTGAAAATTGCTTAATATTCTTCTGGACTGAGAAAAATGTTGATTAAACTGTGGCTTCATTCTCTGTGTTCCTTCCTGCTTTCATTTCAGATATCCAAAAGATGTTACAGGCTGGGCTGTACCAAGCATTGGTGATGAATAATGCAGAGCTTTAAAACCAAAGAGGCTGTTAATAGTTTTTCTGCATTTCTGCAAGCAGCACTCTTACAGAGTAGCTGCTTCAAGTGGGCTGCTGTTTTCTCTGCCCTTGTCCAGAGAAGCAGCATTTCCTCTTCATTATATCATAGACCTATTTTACTTCTTTCTCAACCAGAAGAAACAGCAGATGGGGTCAGTAAATCTGTTCATCGGGTCTTTGCGTCCATGCTTGGGGAAAATGAAGAGGAGGAGGATGAAGAAGAGGAGGAAGAAGAAGAGGAGGAAGAAGAAACTACTGAGCAGCTGACAGCAGGAGATGTTTTTGTTTTGGAGATGGTTCTTAATCGAGAGACCAAGAAAATGATGAAAGCAAGTATTTAAACTTTCATGTAACTTCCACGTGTCCCTTGGCCATAGTACATAAATGCCACTTTGTGTGACTTTTAGCTGCTTACTGAGAAATTTGCCTGAAAATTGTTCCATGTAGCATAATCCTGCTTATGCTGGTGTTTGTTACACTGTCTTTGGTATAAAAGCACTGTAGTTTACAGTTTCACTGTTTGAAAGATTTCAGAAGTCATTAAATCAATTTTGCCAGTGTCAGAAAACTATGAATATTAGCAAGTCTTTTGGTTGGTCATTTAATATTGCTAATACTTAAACAGCTTGGTGTTAGGTGGTGTTAAACACAGCGGGGTGTCTCCTGAATTTGGGCACAACTCAACTTTGGGCAGAAATAGCATCCCTTTTCCATTTAGGAGAAAAGACCTCGCAGCAAGCTTCCCCGTGCCTTGAGGGGTCTGATGGGAGAGGCCAACATCAGATTTGCTCGAGGAGAGCGTGAGGAGGCCATTCTGATGTGCATGGAAATCATTCGACAAGGTATGGGAGAATGGGAAAACCTCTGGGCTTTAAGGATGGGGTTGAGATTTCCATGTGCAGGAGGAGGGTTCAGTGTGGCTTCACTGAAGATGAAAATGAATGGTACAAGCAAAGTCAGGGTATAAGGAGGAGAATTAAGAATATGTAGTGAATATAGAAATATATATAGAATATAGAAAGAAACAAGCACCCCAGTTCGGCAGAGGCACGGGCCTTGGCTTAGCTTTGCAGTTTGCTTTTATTGTCTTTGTAAGATGAAAGGTATAACCAGCATGACTTGCAGTGTAGAATAATACTATAAATAGTTGTTGTTTGATTCAGTCAGGCTGTTTAGTAATTTACAGAAAGGAATCAGAAACTTTGTGCAAGTTTTTTCCTGAATTTAAATAGCACATGTGGATGTTTCATAGAATTCTGATACCTGTTCTTTGAGAAAGGAAAATTATTAGTTTCCAGCCTGGATTTTAAACAATAAATCTTACTCATTCATTTTGTCTTTTCACAGCTCCTTTTGCTCACGAGCCATTTTCCACTCTTGCCATGGTCTATGAAGACCAGGGTGATATGGAGAAGTCACTACAGTTTGGACTGATTGCAGCTCACTTAAATCCCAGCAATACCGAGGAGTGGGTTAGACTGGCAGAAATGTCACTGGAGCAGGACAATATTAAACAGGCTATTTTCTGCTACACAAAAGGTAGCGTAGCAAACATTTTAATAATTTAAAATTAATGCTAGGTGCTCATGGCAATCATTTTTTCTTCTCATTTCTAGTTTAGTTTGCTTCGGGGTGCTGGGATTCTGATACCTCTTTCTGAATTAATGAATCTTTAATATGGGATGTCCTTGCAAATGCCTTGTGCATGTCCACTAACACGAATCAAGGGAATGAATGTGAAGCCCACTATTGCCTTTTCCTGAACTCCTCCTATGCTGTTGCTTGTTCCTGTAGCTCTGAAGTATGACCCGACCAACGTGCGCTACCTGGGGGTAAGATCCAGCCTGTACGAGCAGCTGGGGGAGCACAAGATGGCCATGGATGGCTACCGGCGCATCCTGAACCTCCTGGGTCCCTCCGAGGGGGAGCGCTTCATGCAGCTGGCCCGAGACGTGGCCAAGTGAGCTGGGTTTGCAAACACTGGGATTTGCTTTGCAACAGGAGCTTTGTGGTTTAAGTGTGCAGATGTCCCACAGCAGTTTTTACTACCTTGTGAGCTACTTGTTGAAAGCTGTTCCTCGCCTGTTTCAAAACGGTTTTAAGGTCTTTTGATCATCATGTTTGGGAAATGTAGCAAAAAATGCAAGGATATGTATTATAACACTATTATTAGTGGGGGTTTCTGAAAGCAGGTTAATGTGGGAGACTGTGATGAAAACTCCAGTAATGTCCTGACTAAGAGGGGAGAAAAAAATTGTTAATTATTTGAAGTACGTAAAAGTTTTCAACAGTTGTAAGGAAAGGAAAAATACTTCC